GGAAAACAGGCAGAAGGGTGCTGGCCGCGGCGCTCCCAGCAACCCTGCTGACCACCCTGGGGTCTCTGAATGGGGTGGGGGGAGGATGCACCTGCAGCACCCCTATTCTACTATACGGCCCGGCTCTCGCCCGGCCCCATCACCGTCCAACGAGAATGGGAGTCCCTGCCTAGCAAGGTGAAGAGGGTCCCAGGGAAGGTCCCTGAAGTCCCTTGCAAAAAATGGGGGTGCTTCACCCAGGGTGAATTTGGGGGGGGGTCCTGACGTCAGAGACAAGGGGACTGTAAGGGAAGGACAGCCACAGGACAGGACCAGCAAGCAGCACCGGGGTCAGCAGCGAGGCACGCCAGTGGGGTCGTGAGGCGCGGGGTGCTGGGGTGCGGGGTGCAGGAGCTCCCCTCTGCAGGGAGGACCCGGTGCGCAGGCGCAGGCCGTGGCCGCGGGGAGCTCGGGAGCGGCCCCTGCTGACCGGAGGCCGCCACTGCACCTGCGGGGGCGCAGGGTGTGATGACATCGGATGGGTTACATGGGATCAACCTAGCAAAGTCCCCCCCCCCCCTCGAGGGGGTCCCAAAGTCTGGGCCTCCCAGAGGCCCAGAGCGGGCGAGGCCCAGCCGGGGGCACGCTGAGCAGCCTTGTGGCCAGCCCAGGCCTCCGACGGAACGCCTGGAGCAGCACCCGCCCGGCCCCAGCGTGCACAGAGCAGGAACTGAGATGGGAAGCTCCAGGGAAACTCAAACTCAGGGAGTGCAGTGGAGGCTGGGGGGCCTGACCTGCCTGCCCCATACATTCTTTTTCATTATTATTAAAGCTGTATTTACTCTTTAACAGCTATTTATTTTTTCTTTTTAGTGTAAAGTCAGATATACAGAGGAAAGGAGAGACAAAGAGGAAGATCTTCCATCCGTGGTTCACTCCCCAAAGTGACCACAACGGCCAGTGCTGCACCGATCTGAAGCCAGGAGCCAGGAGCTCTTCCAGGTCTCCCACGCGGGTGCAGGGTCCCGAGGCTTTGGGCCGTCCTCCACTGCTCTCCCAGGCCACAGGCAGGGAGCTGGATGGGAAGTGGAGCTGCCGGGACACGAACCGGTGACCACATGGGATGCTGTTGCATGTGAGGCAAGGAGTTTAGCTGCTAGGCTACTGTGCCAGGCCCAATAAAGACTTTTTTTTTTTTAAGAGGAATCGCTCTAACAGTGTGCCACAGGCAGGGCTGCGGGGGGTGGCCAGCGGGTCGATGCCAGGTACACACACAGGGTGGCACCAGGTACACAGGGCAAGAGGAACCAGACGAAAACTGGAACCAGGAAGAGGGCGCAGACTCGGGATTCTATCTGGCCCAGGTCTGTGGTGTGTCTCTAACCCCAGGGGCCACTGTGGCAGTGCCAGCAGGAGCACAGTCCAGCCAGTGGGCAGAAGGAAGGGTCAACAGGAAGCCAACGAGTGCTCACTGCCACCAACTGGTCAGGGCGGTATCACGCACCCAGGCATCGCTACAAAGGACTCTGGGAAATGTAGTCTTTATGTGACATCTCTCAGCAAGGCTCTAAATCTAATTTTTGACCGCGATGAGGGAAGAAGGGCAATTTGTGACCCTCGCTCTGACACACCCCCTAAAATGATTAGGACCACCCAAAGCCTTGGGACCTTGCACCCGTGTGGGAGACCTGGAGGAGGCTCCTGGTTCCCGGCTTTGGATCAGCACAGCGCTGGCTGTTGCGCTCACTTGGGGAGTGAGTCAACGGACGGAAGATAATCCTCTATCTCTCCTCTCTGTATATCTGACTTTGTAGTAAAAACTAAATAAAATTAAAAAAAAAAAATTAAACATGTTGAGCACCCACACAAAACAAGGATGTAGATCCTCACTCCAGGCGCTTAAAAACTCCACATCCAGAGACAAGTTCAGCGCCCAAGCCATTTTCAGCTACCATGGAGAACCACTGCTCTGGCACCACATACTGCTGAATGGGTGTGTGACACCTCAGGGTGTCGGTGAACGGCATCGTCCCCAGGGACCAGCACAGGTGTGCCAGAGGTGGAACTGCTCAATTTGGGTCATTAATTTCACATACCATCAGGCTTACAAAGCTGCTCTTACAAGGGAGATCTTCACTTCCCAAGTGGCCACAAGGCCCAGAGCTGTGCTGATCCGAAGCCAGGACCCATTCGTAGTAGATTTTAGGACTTATCTATGCACCCGGTGTGGTAGCCTAGCAGCTAAGATTTCAGCCTTGTGTACTCCAAGATCCCACATGCTTAGGCCCAGTGCTTCTCGGTACCAACAGGCTCTAAGTCCCAGCGGATCCATCTCCAGGTCTCCGCAGGGGGAGGCACAGACACACTATGGCCTGGACACCTGCCTCTCTGCCACCCCACATGGTTGCAGGGTCAAGTCCCGGCTGCTCCACTTCCCACCCAGCTCCTTGCTGATGCACTTGGAAAGCAGAGGAGGACAGCCTGAGGGCAGTCATTTCCCTGGAGCCCTGGATGAAGGTTCTGGCTGTGGCCAGGGTGGGGTCTGTGAATGAAACATTTCTTTCCCTTTCTTTGTAAATGCTGGCGAGCATTCTCCTTCCCCCCAAGTGGCCCATGCATTCTGCTCCCGGCCTCTCCTCACCGCTCACTGCCTCAACTTGCTCGGATTGATACTCTTTGGTTCCTGGTTCATGCCCTGCGGGAATATCAGCCCAAGGCCAGGGTGGGCTGCCTGCTCCAGACAAGGATGCTCTGAGCTGCCCGGGGCAGGCTTTGGTCCCACACCCAAATCTTGTAGGAGTCTTTCTTTCACACCTTCTTATAAAAAAAAAGCCTTTTTATTTTTTTGAAGATTTGTTTGTTTATTTGTCTTATAAGATTTATTCGTTTTATTGGAAAGGCAGATATACAGACAGGAGGAGAGACAAAGAGGAAGATCTTCCATCCATGGTTCACTCCCCAAAGTGACCACAATGGCCAGTGCTGCACCGATCTGAAGCCAGGAGCCAGGAGCCTCTTCCGGGTCTCCCACACGGGTGCAGGGTTCCAAGGCTTCGGGCTGTCCTAGAATACTTTCCCAGGCCACAAGCAGGGAGCTGGATGGAAGTGGAGCTGCTGGGATTAGAACCGGCGCCAAACTGGGATCTGGGCACATGAAGGGTGAGTTAACTGCTGGCCATGCCACCAGGCCTTAAAGATTTATTTTTAAAAGTGAGATATATAGAGAGGAAGAGAGAGAGAGGAAGATATTTTGTCCACTGGTTCACTCCCCAAGTGGCAGCAATGGCTGGTGCTGCACCATTCTGGAGCCAGGACCCAGGAACCTCCTCCAGGTCCCCCATGTGGATTGCAGGGTCCCAAGGCTTCGGGCCGTCCTCGGCTGCTTTCCCAGGCCACAGGCAGGGAGCTGGATGGGAAGTGGAGCAGCTGGGACAAAACTGGCACCCCTATGGGGTCCCAGTGAGTGCAAGGTGAGAACTTTAACCACTAGGCTACCACACTGGATCCATGAAAATACTGTTTTTTTAAAAAAAAGGTTTTTTTAAATCAAAATTTCCTTTGTACTTGAAAGGTAACAGTTGCCAAGGGAATCTTCCCTTCCCTGCTTCACTCCCTGAAATGGCGACAGCAGCTGGAGCTGGGCCAGACAGAGCCTAGCCTCCCATGTGTGGGCAGAGGCCCCACACCGGTGCCATCCTCTGCTGCTTCCCCAGGTGCAGGGTCAGTGGAGCAGCCCTACAGAGTATGATGCTGCAAGTGGCTGCTTAAGGTGCTACACTACAATGAAACCCTCACAGATAACAACTTTACAACGTCAAGATGCTTCCTTTCTGAACTTCCCCCCCAGCCAGTCATTTTATTTTCCAGTGATTCATTCCAGGGTTGGGCCTGCTGGCTGAAGCCAGTCAGCTCCATCATGGTCTCCCACGTGGGTGGGAGCCACCCAAGCACTTCCAAGCTCCCTGCCTGTGGCCTGGGAAAGCAGCATAGCTCAAAGTCTTGAGACCCTGCAGCCACATGGGAGACCCAGAGGAGGTTCCTGGCTCCTGGCTTTGCATCGGCACAGCTCCAGCCTTGTGGGTACTCGGGGGAGTTAACCGGCAAGATCTAGCTGTCCTTTTCTAATCTGCCTTCTAATAAATAAATACACTTTTTAAAGGCCTCCAAGGTCGCTGCAGGAGTGGGCCCAGCTCCCAAGCCTTTTCCTGTAAGCATCACCAACAGGCCCTTTTGGGCACGCAAATTGTCAACCTTGATATTTGCCCTGACGTGGTGCGGCGTTCACTTCTGCTTTCCAAAGAATTCATCCCTTTTGGATTTTTTTTCCCTTTTCTTTTGCCTGAGAACTTTCATTTGGGGGGGACAAAGCTTCTGTCCTCTTGCTGCAAAAATAAAACGTAGGGAGGGGCCCCCCCCAGAGCTCCTGCGTGGGGTGTTCTTGGGGTTCTCTGGGAGTGAGCGGCCAGCAGCCTGACAGGTGGGCCTGGGGGGCCCCGTGTCCCTCCCCCACCACGCCCGGCGCCAACTTTGGGGGTGCGCCAGGCCCCGGATGCGGCGCTCGTGGGGCGCCCACTGCACGGCGGTTGAGCAACCAACCGTCCCCTGGCCCGCGGCGCCTTCCGACGTGGCGTGGAGTGCAGGCCCGCACGGGGCGGCCACCGCGCGCAGGGTGCCCTGCCATGGGCTGCCCGACACCCCGAAGCGCCCCAGCACCCTGGCCTGCACCTGCGCGCGCCGCGTGCGTGCCCCTTTAAGGCTCCCCGAGTGGGCGTGGCCCTCAGGAGCAGCGAGGCCCAGAGGGGGAGGGGCGAGGCAGCATTGGTCTGCTCTGATTGGCCTGAGATCCGGGCGGTGGCTTGTGACGCCTGCGCAGTGCTGGGCAGCGCGCGCCGGCCTTAGCGTTGGGGAGGAAGCGCGAGGGCGTGCGCGGCTGCCGATTGGTCGAATCGGCGGCCCCGCCCCAGAGTGGCGGGCGGTCACGTGACGCGGCGGCTGGCGGCGGGGGGGGCCTCCCGGCGCACGGGGGGAGGGGGTGACGCTGGTGGCCAAGATGGCGGCGGAGCTGGTGGAGGCCAAAGTGAGTGAGCGGCGGCGGCGACGCGGGCGGACCGACCGCGGACGCGAGGGGGGCGGGTAGCCGGGCGCGCCCCGGGGCCTGTGCCCGCCGCCCGCGCTCCGCGACGTGCCCGGTGCACCCCTCACCCTGCCCGGGCCTCCGCGGGCTCCCGGGACCCCGGGGTGTGGGCGGAGGGCTGGGGGGGCGGGGCGGCCGCCTTCCCGCCGGGGCGCGCTTCCCCCCGGACCGCCTGGCCCGCACGGCCGCCGGAGGGCTGGCGTCTGGGTCCCGTGCCCGGTAGGGGACAGGCTGGCGTGTGGGACCCGTGTCTGGCGTCCCCTGGCGGAGGGGGTGTCTGTACCCCGAGTTTGTTGTCTGGAACTCAGCACTGAACCCCCTCTTTCACATACCCCTCTTCCTTTCCCTGTGGTTGCGGGACCCCAGTCCTCATGTGTGCCTCTCGCTTTCTCTGTGATTTAGGGGACCCCAATCCTCACGTACCCCTCTCACCTTCCCTGGGACTTGGGCCCCCCAACCCTCATGTACACCTCTCTTTTTTGCTGTGATTTGCGGGACCCCAACCCTCATGTACCTCTCTGGCCTTCCTTGTGACTCAGCCCCCCAACCTTCACGTATCCCTCTCCCCTGTGGCTAAGTGCACCCCGCAGCTCTGATGTACCCCTCTCCCCCTCCCTGGGACTTGGGTCTCCCAACACTCACATAGCCCTTTTCCTTTGCCTGTGGTTTGTGGGACCCCAGTCCTCATGTACACCTCTTGGCTTGGGTGCCCCAACCCTGTATACTTCTCGCCTTCCCTGTAGTTTGGGGACTCTCTCGTACCCCTTTCCACGTCCCTGGGACTTGGGGACCCCACGTTTCAGCACTGGGAGTTTACATCCTACCGTCCCTCTGGACAGCATCCGTGAGGCCGTGGAGTGTTGTTTTTTGGGGTCCCCGCATCAATTCCCTCCCCCTCGCAGGCTCACATCCTCCCTCCCTGGCATCTGTACCTATATTGTACTTCTAAACCTGGTGCACACGCCTCTTTCCTGGCAGGGAAAGTTGCGGCACTCTGGCCTGGGCATGTTGGTGGGTCCCCTCTGCCCCCCCAGGCGGGCCCAGTAGGTGTCTGTCTTTAGGGTAACCTGTGCTGTTGGCATTCTGTGTGTGTTTCTACCAGCCTTGTTAGCCATGCTGCCTGGCCCACACACCCCGCAGCCCCTGTGAGGGCGTCTGGGGTAGGGGTCGCCTCAGGCCTGAAGTCGCTGGCATTGCGCTGGAGCCCTGCAGTGGGGCCTGGCCGAGCCTTAAGTAGGATCAGGTGAACTCTGAGCTGCTTTCCCAGCTGGGCCCTGCCCCCGGTTGAATCGCCCTACGCTGCTCTGGACTTTTCTGTACCAGCCCCTAGGGTGGAGGGGGCGTGGGGGCTGCCACCCCGTCTTCTGTGGCATTGGACTGGCTCTGTGTGGTCTGTACTCAGCAGGGAGGCAAAGGGCACTAAGTGGTTAGCTTGCAGATCTGATCTCGGCTTGAGACTTGGAAGGTGGGTTTGGGGGTACAGATGGCGGGCCCCCTTCCCGCTCGGCCATGTTGTTGGGGTTCTGGTACGGGGTACCCCATCTGGTTCCAGCTCGTGCACCAGCCCAGACTTGCCTGGGCACCAGAAGCTGCGCACCCACCTTTTCGGCCAGTGCCATGTGTGAGTGAGTGTGGCTCTGGCAGGGCAGGTGGGTCCACATGGAGCTGGCAGGAAGTGATCTGGGGACACTTGGGGTGCCCTCCTCATCAAACCCCTTCCCTGTCACGCGCAGGTTCCGGGGCTGTGGCACCTGTCGAGAAGGCCGAGTCAGGAGCTTGTGGCTGTATATGGGCTGTGCCTGGGGTGCGGGCCTGCAGCGCAGCGTGGTGTCCGGCTGAAGGGACCCCCAGCCCGCCTGCCCTGACCGCTCAGTGCCTTGGTCGGCTCTCCTCCCGGCCCGAGGCCTGAATCTCTTCTAGAAGGGTCATTTTGAGCACGAACCCCTTCGACCCCCTTCCTGTAGAAGTCAGGGGAGGGGCCGTGTCTCCGATAGTCACAGGCTGCCCAGACCCCTGGGTAGTGGTCGTGCTGGACAGGGAGGGCTTCCCAGGCAGCTGGCCCTGAGCCTGTCACGCGTGGCTTGGAATACAGGCCTTGCCGTCCACTCTTGGGGAAACCGGGGCAGGTCACTTCGCCCTCCTGAAGGTGTGGCTTTGTTGCCCGCTGGTACTGGCACAGGGCTCTCTCACATCCCTTGAGACTTTTTAAGTGTGTGTGTTGCCAGAGCGAATACGCGGGATGCCTTTGCGGGGTGTCCGGCAGCCCCTGACTGGGTGAGGCAGTGGGGTCTCCGGAGCTGTCCTTGTCCTGGAAGTCCCCGTTCCCTACCTCGTGTCCCCGCAGGCCTGGCATGGGCTGCCCAGAGCCCGACCCTGCTGACGAGTCCAGACCAGTAAGCTAGGGTCGCAGCCACCCCTTCCCCTGCATCATGCCAGCCAGCTCCCAGCCAGCTCCCTGGGGCATCCCCGATTGGCGTCGTGGGTGAGGGCTGGCCCCAAGGTGCGCTGTGTCTGACGTGGCCCCAGCAGACATCGGGGGGCCTCTGCGGGGCCCAGGTTTGGTAAGGGAGTGTCGGAATAGCTTCAGCCGCACTGTGCTGGCCGTTTCTGGGGTCCCGCTGCCTGCCCCTCACGGCCCCTCCAGCGCGTCCTGGGAAATGGGGACCTGCCCCGGCCGAGGGCGAGACAGTTGGCCGGCGCCTGGCTGGGCTGGTGCCAGCCCCGGGATGCCCTCGGCCGGGCCGCCTCGCTGAGCCTGTGCCGTCTCCCCCGCAGAACATGGTGATGAGCTTCCGAGTGTCCGACCTGCAGATGCTGCTGGGCTTCGTGGGCCGCAGCAAGAGCGGCCTGAAGCACGAGCTGGTGACGCGGGCCCTGCAGCTGGTGCAGTTCGACTGCAGCCCCGAGCTCTTCAAGAAGATCCGTGAGCTGTACGAGACGCGCTACGCCAAGAAGAACGCCGAGCCGCTGGCGCAGCCCCACCGGCCGCTCGAGCCCCTGGCCATGCACGCGTCCTACGAGAGGCCCAGCGCCGGGCCCAGGACTCCGCTCGCGGGCCCCCACCTCGACTATCCCGTGCTGTATGGCAAGTACTTAAACGGACTGGGCCGCCTGCCCGCCAAGGCCCTCAAGCCGGAGGTACGCCTCGTCAAGCTGCCCTTCTTTAACACGCTGGACGAGCTGCTCAAACCCACCGAGCTGGGTGAGTCGGCCGCGGTGCGGCGTGGGGGGCTGCCACTTGCTTGGCTGGCCGCCGTGGCCACAGGCTCCGCTTGGTTCCTTGCCGGACCGGGTCCCAGGACCGCGTGGCCTGTCCGTGAGCTTGGGGGCTGCAGGAGCCCAGGCCACGACTGCCCACAAGTGTGGGGGGCAGGTCCCGGGGAGCTCCCCCCATGGTGCAACTGGATGGCCTGCACGGGGAGCGTGGTCAGGGCCAGGCCGTGTCCCAGTGCCTGGCTTTGCCCGGTGCCTGTTCCGTCCCCGTGCCCTTGCTTTGCGCGGGTGGGGCACTCGAGTGCATGTCTGTGGTGAGGATGTCTGGTGGCAGCCACAGCACCCCTGTGGTTTGGCTGCAGGGTACCCCTTGCCATGGTGTGGCCCCACCCTGGGTCCTGCTGCCAGCCCCCTACCTCCTGCCCTCGCCCATCAGGAGTTCTGGGCTCCCTCCCTGCTGACCCAGCAGCCTGCCTGGAGCAGGTGGGGGTGGGGTGGGCTGCCTGTCACAGCCCTGGGGGCTATGGTTGGCCGAGGGGAGGGCAGGGCACCCTTAGAGGTCTCCCCACCACCCCTCTCCCCAGGGGGCCTGTGGAGGCAGGTTGGCCCAGCAGCTCTTGTTCAGAGTGATACAGCGTATACAGCGTCCTCTGTCTGCCTGCCGGAAGCCTGCCTGCCCCCCTTCCCCGGCAGCCTCTGGGGCCCCAGGACAGGGCTGGGGGAGGAGGAGGAGCCAGCTGGGGTGTCAGACCCCAGAGTGGGGGCAGTGAGGCGGCGTGTCCACCTGCAGGCCGCGGGGCAGCCTGGGGCTGGAAATGCCTTTGAACTCGGAGGCCGCCGGCTTCCTTCCTGCCCTGCCCCACGGTCGGTGCTGCTCTCGGGGCCCCAGGGACCCGTCACCTGATCTCCCGGCGAGCCGGCGCCCCGTGCCCTGCGCCCTGCTCTCCCTGGCTCCGCGAGGAAAGACTCTGTGCAGTGGCTGGGAACAAAGGAGCCGCCCCGCTCCTATCCGGGTGCACCCTCAGCCTGGATACCCAGGCCCTGGGGCTCCAGGGGCTTCCCGGGTGCCGCGTGAGGAACCCCCTTCTCTCGTCTCTCAGCCTTCCTGGCTCATGACGCCCCCTGCCTACCCTGGGCAGGGCCCTCCCCGCTGGGACCACCAAGGGCCTCTCAGGAGCTGCCAGTACTCCCTGCCCATCCACCCCCCGCCCTGCCTGCGACCCTGGCTGTTTCCCCGGAAGAGCCGGCACCCGTGGGCAGGAGCCATAAATCATGGCCGCCAGGCGGGCTGGGGGAGGGGAGCCACGGCCGGAAGGGCCTCTGGAGACAGCTGGCCCTGTCTGCTGGGCTTCCCAGCAGCCCGCCTGGCCCCTCCGGCTCTGCCCTGGCCACAGCCGCTTAAAACCCAGGACCCCAGCCTGGCTGAGCGAGGGGGAGCCACAGCCTGTGGCTTAGCGGACCTGCCTCGAGGGTCTTGCTGACCTTGACAGAGCCCAGGACCCAGGGACAGGCTGCCCGAAGCCCCCCGGCCCGAGCAGGGGGGAGCCTAGCTTTGGCACCCAGCTGCTGCCTGAGCCGCGTGCAGGGGCCTGGCGCATGCAGCTGCCCCTCCTGGGGCCTGCAGAACTCCCTGAGAGCAAGCTGGCGGAGACGCCGGCCCGGGAGCTGCTGGAGGGTGCCAGGGTGTGCGTGAGGGGTGGCAGTCAGATGAGTTTCCTGTAGGCAGTGTCAGCCGGGGCGTGCCCGAGGGGTAGTTGCGGTAAGCCAGGCGGAGGGGCCGGCCTGGCAATGCAAGAGGGCCTGAGCCCAGCTCTGAACGGGAGCCATTGAGACCCAAGTGTGGGGGCCGGGCAGAGGGCCGCAGCCTGGACCCTCCTGCCACCCGAAGGTGCTGCAGGCCCGTGAGGCTGCGGTGGTCCCCTACACTCCCTCTCTGCTGTCTGTTTTGCTGAAATAACCCGCTTGTTTTAGAAGATGGGTTTGTTCACTTGAAGGGCAGCGTGACAGCTTCCATCTGCTGGTTCACGTCGAATGGCTGGACCAGGCCGGAGCTGGGAGCCGCGAGCTGCATCCTGGTCTCCCCGTGGGTGGCGGGGGTTCCGGCACTTGGGCCAGCCTCCATGGCCTTCCCAGGCGCCTTAGCAGGGAGCTGGACCCTGCACTTGGATGCAGGGTGCCGGCGCAGCAGGTGGACCCAGTACTGCAACATCCACCCTGGCCCCATTCGCTGAGGTCTCACCGGCCTGGGTGTTGCCGCTCCAGCTCCAGCTCCTGTTGCCGCTCCCGCCGGCCCCTGGAGGCCCTGGAGCTCCTGGCCGTCCTCACTCAGGCCAGGCCGGTGCCTCTGTCCACACACTCCTTAGCCTTCAAGGCACGGCCCTGCCTCCTCGCTTTTCCCCAAATCGAGTGGTTTGGTTTTTTTATTTATTTTGATTATTATTATTTTTTTTAAGCTTTATTTTTGTTAGGCGAATTGACATAGAGAAGGATACAGAAAAACCTTGCACCCGCTGGTTCACTCCTCAAGCGATTGCAACAGCTGCAGCTGAGCTGATCCGAGGCCAGGAGCCAGGAGTCTCTTCCAGGTCTCCCACGTGGGTGCAGGGTCCCAAGGCTTTGGGCCGTCCTCCACTGCTTTCCCAGGCCACAGGCAGGGAGCTGGATGGGAAGTGGAGCTGCCGGGATTAGAACTGTTGACCATGTGGGATCCCAGCGCACTCAAAGCAAGGACTTTAGCTGCCATGGCCTCACCCCCCAATTTTTTTTTTTTTTTTTAATTTTGTAAAAATAACGATTACACGGCTGATCCAGATGGGGAGGATTGAGGTTTCAGGAAAATTGGGTGAAATCATTGCTTCCAAATTTGCTATTTATTCTTGTTCCTGGAAGAAGAGAGGAGACAGAGGACTTCCCACACGTCCCAGTGCCCAGGGATGAGACCCTCGCGTCCAGCCAGGGTCTCCCTTGTCGCTCTCCGCGGGTTCCGGCCAGGTGGCCTGGATGGCTCTGCCATGCCGGCGACTTGACCGACCCGAGGATGCCCCCCGCCCCCCGTGTGCGTTGGCCGCGTTCACCGGGATGTTTCTGTCGTTCGTTTGGGTTACTGGGCCAGGTAGTTCTGTTCTTTTGTGCTGATCTGTGCGTGTGAACACAGCCACGAGTGCGGGGCACAGCGAGGACGGCGTGCGTCTGGCCGGGCCCCGCCCTGTTTACGTCCTGGGCTGTGGTATTACACTGAGCCGGGGTGGGCAGACTGTGGCTCTGGTCAGGGGGAGGTGCCCCAGGGCCAGGGCTGTGGCAGAGCCGGTGAAGCTGCTGCCTGTACTGTTGGCATCCCATATGGGCACCCATGCGTGTTCTGTTGCTCCGCTTCCATCCAGCTCCCTGCTCATGGGAAAAGCAGGGGGAAGTGGCCCAGGTGCCTGGGTTCCTGCCCCCCATGTGGGAGACCCACAGGAATTTCGGGCTCCTGGCGTCAGACTGGCCCAGCATGGGCACCGGGGAGTTCACTAATGCATGGAAGATGTCTTCCTCTCTCGCCGCACTGCCAATTTTCTAGAGAAATAGGTATTGTTTTTTTAAGGGATGTACAAGGCACCCAGAGCCAACTCATTGCTGCAGTGGTATGTCGGGGTGCCGCGGGGTGCTGGGGACGTCCTGCCAGCCCTGAGAGCTGAGAGTGGCTGGGGCAAGGCCTCCCCTGCAGAGCCAAGGCCTGGGGGCGCTGCAGCCGATGCCCAGGGTCACGGCATGCAAGCCGAGTCGACACTTGGCATTTGCCGATAGCGTGAACGGCAGCGGCAGCTGGCCGTGAGTTTGCTGCTGACCCCGGCAGCGGAGGAGCGGGTGTGCGGGGACCCCTTCAGCAGCCCCCCAGCTGACGTCACAGCTGGCAGGAGTGTGGCCATTCAGGTGTCCGCTCCTCAGGCTCTGGGGCCTGGGCCAACAGCTGCCCCGCCTGTGATGTGGAATCCTCACTTGGTTTTTGGTTTGGTTTTCTCTGTCAGTTTTAACATTTATTACTCTAAACGCAGAGTTACAGAGAGGGAGAGAGCAGGGAGGTGATCTTCCATCTACTGGTTCACTCCCCAAATGGTTGCAGTGGCCATCCGGGGCCAGAAGCCTCTTCCAGGTCTCCCACGCGGGTGCAGGGTCCCAAGGCCTTGGGCCGTCCTCCACTGCTTTCCCAGGCCACAGGCAGGGAGCTGGGTGGGAAGTGGAGCAGCCGGGATTGGATCCAACAGCCCCATGGCATGCCAGTGTCACAGGTACCAGGCTAGCCTGCTGCACCATTGCACTGGGCTCACCCCTGCCGCACTCCTCCCCAGCTGAGCCGCCTCGTGGGGGACTCGGGCCGGTGGGGAAGCCCTGCCAGGGCTGTGTGCCAGTGTGCACTCATGCATACTCACCCGAAGGTCACAGGTTCCAGGGCAGGTCTGGGAAGCAAGATCAGGGGGACAGGCCCACTGTGGCCTATCCTGGGGACAGAGGCCATTGGCACGCAGCCTCCCCCAGGGCCTGTGTGCAGACTGAGAACCCTCCCCCCCTTGGGGGCCCGCCAGTGTCCTGGCACCGACTGGAGGTCGGGAGGCAGGGTATGTGTCCAGCGGACGGCCCCCGGGACGGAAAGGGTCAGATCATTCCTGAGGGCCACAGTGGCCGGGGCTGGGTCAGGCCGCAGCCAGGACTCCATCCGGGTCCCCCATGGGGGTGTACCTGGCCACCCCCCCCACTCTCCCAGGTGCAGTACCCGGGAGTTCCAGGTCTCCCACGGAGTACACCTGGCTCACCCCCTCTACTCTGCCAGGCACGGCAGCTGGGAGTCCAGCCAGTGCTTGGGTATGGCACATAGGTATGTGAGCTGCCACTTCCCAGTGCCCCTCCGGGGTGTGCGTGTCCGTGAGCAACTCACGACCCCCCGGGTACCTGGCGTCTGCTGCCACCACCCTTCCCACTCTCCCACGGTCGGTCTACAACTTGCTGGTTGTCCGTTGCTGTGCAGGGCCGGGCCGCCTGAGGACTCTGAGCAGTACGCACCGGAAGCCGCTGGGCACGGTCTCAACGTGGTGATCCTCATTCAGTCCAGGGAGCAGGTGCCTGTGGGCTGTGCGGCTGAACGAGAGGAGGTGTTTGTGGACCCGGCCCGGTGCGCCCACTCGCAGCCCTCCCCCTGCAGTCCTGGGGATGGAGGAGTTTTATTTTGAGAAGTAGAGAGAGGGAGGTAGCATCTTTGATCCGCTGGTTCGCTTCCCAGATGGCCACCACAGCCCGGGCTGGGTCAGGCGGAAACCGGCAGCTCTACAGGGACTCCCCATGGGTAGCAGGGGCCCAAGGACGAGGGGGCTGTAACTCCCTCCTGCCCCCACCCCCCGGTGAGGCTGTGTCAGCAGGAAGCCAAGCTGGAGGAGGTGACCTGTGCACCCAGGGTCTGTCCTGCAGGGTGGAGGTGTAGTTAAAAACAATTATTGGGCCCGGTGCAGTAGCCTAGTGGCTCAAGTCCTTGTCTTGCATGCGCTCGGATCCCATGGAGCACCAGTTCATGTCCTGGCAGCTCCACTTCCCATCCAGCTCCCTGCCTGTGGCCTGGGAAAGCAGTGGAGGACGGCCCACAGCCTTGGGACCCTGCACCCGCGTGGCTGACCTGGAAGCAGCTCCTGGCTCCTGACTGGATCAGCTCAGCTCCTGCCGTTGCAGCCCCTTGGGGAGTGAGGCAGCAGATGCAGGATCTTCCTCTCTGTCTCTCCTTTTCTCTGTTTATCTTCCTTTCCCATGGAAATAAATCTTTTAAAAAACAAACAAAAATTGTTAATGGGGTGCAGAAACAGGAAAAGGAGATGCGTGTGGGGGAGTGTTCCGTGATCTGCATTTTTGTGCCTTTGATATTTACTGTTGACTGTCACATTCAGTATTCACGCAACCGTGCTGCATGCTGTGCCATCGCCTAGGGCACTGGCATTCTCTGTGGGCTCTGGTTCAAGTCCCTGCTGCTCCGCTTCAGATCCAGCTCCCTGCTGCTGTGCATGGCTGTTCTGAGCAGCCGGGGATGGCCTGAAGCCCTGGGCCCCTGCAGCCGTGGAGGAAATGACGTGTGTGTGTGTGTTTATAGATTTATTGGAAAGGCAGATTTCCAGAGAGGAGGAGACACAGAAAGATCTTCTTGTGCTGGTTCACTCCCCAAGTGGCTGCAACGGCAGGAACTGAACCGATCTGAAGCCAGGAGCTTCTTCCGGGTCTCCCACGCGGGTGCAGGGTCCCAAGGCTCTGGGCCGTCCTCCACTGCTTTCCCAGGCCACAGGCAGGGAGCTGGATGGGAAGTGGAGCAGCCAGGATACGAACCGGTGCCCATATGGGATGCTGATGGCACAGTGCCGGCCCCTCTGTCAGCGGGAGAAGCACTTTGGTCCGTCTGAGGTGGTTTGCATCTTGGGAAGTTTGCTCATTTCACTAAACCATCATATTCATGGTTCACGAGTTGTGGATGACATTTCCTGTGAAACTGAGAGGCCGTGGGGTCAACCCTGCCCTCCCAGTCTTCCCAGAAACGGTGGGCTCTGCCCGAGCCCTCTGCCCCTAGCGGCCCTGCTGGCCGCCTGCTCCATTCACTCGGCTGCCGCTTGCTTCCTCGGGGGCCTCCGGCCTGGCCTTCCTCTTCCTGTTGGGGTTTCTCGTGTGTGAGTGGGTCGCCTTTTCCTGTCCGGCCTGCGGCGCCCCGATAGCGACGCTGTGTCCTTCCTCCTCGAGTCCCAGCCCCGGGACACTCACGGTACAGCTGGCCACCTGCCTGCCCTCCCCTCCCATGGGGCAGACTTGGCTGTGACTTGCCCACGAGAGGGGCCCCTGCTTTGAGCTGGCCTGGGGACCAGCCGAGAGCCAGGGTGGGAGGGCGGCCCGTCCTCTGTCCTCCACTCCCAGCGTGGCCTGTGCCGTGCCGGTGGAGCTCCAGGCCAGGGAAGCTGTGGGCAGCAGGCACTGGGCTGGCCCAGCCGTCCCCCTGGCCTCTGTCCTGGCTTCCTGCCCTCAGGAGGGGCCACCTGACCCTCCGACCCTGACCCTAGCCCGCATTCAGTCCCGCAGAACAGCGAGAAGCTGCAGGAGAGCCCGTGCATCTTCGCCCTGACGCCGCGGCAGGTGGACCTGATCCGGAACTCCAGGTGAGGCCCCTGCCAGGCTTGGGCCTCGGGCGCCTCTGGAACCTCCCTGCGGGACCTTTGACCCTGAGCTGCTTCCCTCACCCTACCTACCTGAGGGCACACGGGGTGCTCTCTGTCCCCACAACCCTGCCCTGGGTGCCCCTGCCGCTCTCCCCAAGTTCCTGCACGGCTCTTTCCCTGAGTCTGAGGTTGAGTGCACACAGCACACACAGCCCCGCTGGAAGACATGTGAGGGGGGCTTCAGAGTGTGTTGTCAGCTGGGTAATTGCTGCCTGATTCCAGATCGTTCCACCCCCTCAGGATAGCGCCAGGTCCTGTTCCCCCAGCCACCCAGTGCTCTCTGCGGGTGGGGGGGCCGTACCGGGTGATAGAGTGTCCCTCCCCTGGGTGCTATTTAGGGGGGTGCACAGGCGGGGGTCTGGGTTGGGGGTGGGCCTGGGCTCCAGTAGCCCTGTGAGCCTGACCTCCGCTCTTGTTCCTCCTGCTGTCCCTGCCAGAGAGCTGCAGCCCGGAGTGAAAGCTGTGCAGGTGGTCCTGAGGTAAGCCCGCCCCCTGTGCCTGCACAGCCCCGGGGTTCGGGCCCTGTGCCCGCCCTGCCCCCAGCCCCCATGGCCCCTGCTGTTCTTGCAGAATTTGCTACTCAGACACCAGCTGCCCACAGGAGGACCAGTACCCGCCCAACATTGCTGTGAAGGTCAATCACAGCTACTGCTCCGTGCCGGTGAGGATCGGGGTCCGTGTGCGTGCCCGGGGCCCTGGGGGTCCCCACAGCCTGAGCCTCCGCTCTGCTTGCAGGGTTACTACCCCTCCAACAAGCCCGGCGTGGAGCCCAAGAGGCCCTGCCGCCCCATCAACCTCACGCACCTCATGTACCTGTCCTCGGCCACCAACCGCATCACTGTCACCTGGGGCAACTATGGCAAGGTGAGAGCGCGTGCCATACCCACGCTGACGCCCCCACGCGCCCTGTGTCGGCCCCCACTGACGCCCCCATGCCCGCCCGCAGAGCTACTCGGTGGCACTGTACCTGGTGCGGCAGCTGAGCTCAGCTGAGCTGCTGCAGCGGCTGAAGACCATTGGCATCAAGCACCCGGAGCTGTGCAAGGCGCTGGGTGAGCCACACGGCCGGCTTGGGGTGGGGGGGCACGTGTCCACCGGAGTGTGCAGGGCCACACAGCCTTCGGCTCGGGCTGGCGAGCAGTTGTGGCAGGGGAGCGGCCGAGGACCCTGGCCCAAGGGAGGAGTCTGCCCCCTGGCCACTCCGGGTGCCCATCTGGCCAACTGCCACCAGCTGGCCAGCCCAGGTCCACATGGGGGCTTCCCAGGCAGGTAAAGGAAAGGGGGTGACCAGGTCAGAGGCTCACTGCCGGCCTGGAGGTGGTGCCCGGGGTTGGGGGGCTTCAGAACCCCTCATGTCATGGGTTCTGTGTTGTAAAAGTTGAGACTTTGTTGTTCGGACACACACTCCCGGTGGGTCCCTGCTGCCTCTATGTCCTGGTGACGGGGCGGGGTGCAGCACTGCTCCGGGCTGCTGCTTGATCCCTGGGCCGTGCCCCAGTGGGCAGCCGGCTGGAGAAGCTGCCCATCGCCGCCCGTCCTCCCCTCGCTGACCTCGCCCTCTGCCCCTGGCCAGTCAAAGAGAAGCTGCGCCTGGACCCTGACAGCGAGATCGCCACCACTGGCGTGCGGGTCTCACTCATCTGCCCCGTGAGTTGCCTCTGGGCCCGCACCCCGGGGGGCCCGCCTTGGTGCCGCCGGGCGCTGCTGACGGCCCCCCCCGCCCGCAGCTGGTGAAGATGCGCCTGACGGTGCCATGCCGCGCCGAGACCTGCGCCCACCTGCAGTGCTTCGACGCCGTCTTCTACCTGCAGATGAACGAGAAGAAGCCCACCTGGACCTGCCCCGTGTGCGACAAGCCAGCTCCCTACGACCAGCTCATCATCGACGGGTGAGTCCCTCTGCGGGCGGCTGCCGCTCCTGCAGGCCTTTCTGTTCGGGTTACATAGCTCTGTCGCTGTGGGTCCCACGCAGGAGGAGGATACCAGGGCCCCGCAGGAACATGTCCCTTCACCTCAGGCAGGAGGGAACCTGCCCTCTGCTCTTGGGTTTCCAGAAACTGAGCCCTTTTGTCTGTGGCACCTGACATTGCCCAGCCCCAGCCACACCCTCCCCCATGTCCCCATGCCTCTAGGCAGCGCGTGACTGGGGGGCAGGAGGCCAGAGCGTGGCTTGATTTCCCCCACAGACACCCCCTTCTACCCTCCCCTCGTCCTGCCCTGTCCTGAAGCAGTCCATCTTAACACAGGGCCACTGGGACTTGAACCTAGGGCTGGCAGCTCAGCCTGGGTCCCCTGCTGGAAGGGACTGAGCCACCCTCCTCAGCGGAGAGCCTTGGGGCGGGCCTGGCCGGCTGGCACGGGCTGAGCCTGAATGGCTTTGCTGTTCCCAGCGGGCAGCTGCGTGGCCTGGCCGCCGCCTTCACCAAAGCCTGGTGTGCACGCTATAGACTCAGGCCACCCTGAGAGCCCGGGGCCTAAGGGGCCAGGGCAGGTGTCTCAGCAGCCGGCGTGGCCTGGGCGTAGCCAGGCAGTCTCCCTGGAGGAGGGCTTTCCGGGTGTCCATTGGTTCCACCTTGCCTGGCCCTGGTCCTGGACCAGCACGCGTTCAGGAAAGCCTCCTCTCTGGAGGGGATGGGTGGGCGTGCTGTGTGGGCAGCCAGGAGAGATCTGGGGGATGCTGGGGCCCCAGGCTGGGCCTGGCATCAGCCCGCACCCCCACTGCCCCCTGCGGCTGCCGCAGACTCCTCTCCAAGATTCTGAGCGAGTGTGAGGACGCGGACGAGATCGAGTACCTGGTGGACGGCTCGTGGTGCCCGATCCGCGCCGAGAGGGAGCGCAGCTGCAGCCCGCAGGCCCCGATCCTTGTGCTGGGTGAGGCCTGCGTCCCCCCCTGCACCCGCCCGCACCCCGCCTGCCCCTCCGCTGTGCGCTCCCGGCTGCCAGCGCCCGCATCCAACCTGCGCGCCCGCCCCTGTTGCCCACAGGCGCCTCAGAGGCCAACGGGCTCCTGCCGGCCCCCAGCGTCAACGGAGGCGGCAGCGGCGGCGGGGGCAGCAGCGGCGGCGGGGGCGGCGGCGGCGGGGGCGGCAGCGCGCTGGGCAGCGGCCCGGGCAGCGCCGGGGGCCCGGCGGGCAGCGTGGAGAACGGCAAGGCGGGCGCCGACGTGGTGGACCTGACGCTGGACAGCTCGTCCTCGGAGGAGGACGAGGAGGAGGAGGAAGAGGAGGAGGACGAGGAGGACGAGGAGGGCCCCCGGCCCAAGCGCCGCTGCCCGTTCCCCAAGGGCCTGGTCCCCGCCTGCTGACGACGGCCGGGCCGCCACCCTCCTGGTGCTCTCGCCGCGGGGCGCGGGCGGGCGGCCGGGCGCGGGCCCTTCCCGTGGTCACTTCCTTCCCCTGCGCGTCCCGGCCTCCCCCTCCACGCCCGGACCCCCGCACTCCCCCTCTCCGGGGATAGATCAGCGAAAAACGACGACAACAGCGGAAACAACAAGAGAAAAAAAAACAGAAAAAGGTACAAAAACGAGAGAAAAAAAAAAAAAGTGAAACAGACAGAAACTCAAAACTCTGTAAAAGCACGAGGCAAGCCGCCTGCTGGCCGCCCCCGCCGGGCCGGGGTCGCTTCGCTGTCCCTCGCGGGGACCCCCGCACCCCAACTGCCGCCGCCCGCGCCGGGGAGCCGGGGGCCCGAGGCGGGTGTCTTTATGTTGAAAGTGCAATAACTTGGTGTTTGCAAGACCTGGCAGTGCAGCGCATGGGGGCGGCCCGGGGGGCAGGCGGGGTCGGGGTGGGGGGGTCTCAGTTCTTAGCCAGCTACCTCGGTAACTCCAATTCAGGTTAACTTCCCCGCGGCGCCCCCTCCCCGGGCCGGCCGCCTCACCCTTCTTTTCTCGCTCTTGGGTTCTTTTCCCTCCCCCTTCCCCCGGGCTTGCCTGGCACCCCCTTTCCTCCGCTCCCGGGTCCCCCCAACCTCGCTCTTCCAGCAGGACCAGCCCCGCCCACAGGGGAGCCTGGGCTGGGGCCGGCGGGCCAGGACCCCCGGGACCAGCGCCGTGCGCCCCCCACCCCTGTGTGTGAAGCGACCCACTCTGTCAGGAAGCAAGCAATACCGGTTCAGGTTATGAGGAGGACGGGGCCGGGGCGCGCGGGCTCCCTCCCTCGCTCGTGCTGTGGAAACCCCGGCCGCCCGCCTGGCGGCAGAGGGCCGCCGTTTTCTAATATTTGTATTCTAATTTAATTGTTTTTTTTAAAAATGCAAATAATAAAAAAAAAAAGGTCGAGGTGAAGCCGCATGGGGTGGACTCCATTCACGACTTGGGGCGCGTCGTCACCGTTGGGGTGGAAGGGGTGGCCCCCATCAGCACCCCCAGGGAGGGCACAGGGGCTGGGCAGTCTGGGGGCGCACGGGGACAGCGTGGTGTCCAGTAGGGAATGCTCTAGAAACCAGAGGTGCCGGCTGAGTGGCCACTGGAAGCAGCTGTGTGCAGAGCCTCCTGCCCCAGAGCTGGGTGCCTGCCGTCGGGCAGGGGGCCCCCGGGGGATGGTGTTGCCAGGCAGGGGACTGGGCTGAGCCACCAAGGCCCCAGTGTCCGTCCCCAGCCGCCCATGTCATGTGACCACAGCAGGGCCCTGGCCAGGACTGTCCCCTGGCAGCACCCAGATACCCTACACCCAGTGGTGTCAACACACCACCCACCCGGCCAGTCCTCCCTGCACGTCAGGCTGTGTGAGCCACCGGGGACGTCCACTCCCTGCTGGCCGCAGCCCGCGGGACCAGACCTCGCATGGGGTACCCACATTCTGGTGCCCAGGAAGTGTGGGGTGGACCCAGGGCCTGCTGTCCCCACTATGGGGGAGGATCTCGATTTCGGGGGGCAGAGAAGGGAAGACCCCATGGGACCCTTCCACCCACCTACCCCCACAAGACACCCCCCCCCCCAAGAAACACGACAAACATAATCAGGCAGTGAGGCGGCAGCGGTCGGAACAGGCTGCGTTTAGTGGTTTTTTTTTTTTTTATGTACAAGAAAAATGAAATTTTTTCATCTTTTTTTTTGTTATGACTTTTAAAGCTTCTCTCCCCCCACCCCCAAAAGTGCTTTTTTTTTGTCATCCATTGATTATTTTTTTTAAATCTCCCACACTTTATAAAGACGCTCAGGGTCCCTGTGGAATGTCTGCTGTGTGCTCTGACCCCAGAACCCCTCCCTTTGCCAGGCCTGACCCCTCAACTCCAAGGCACCTCGGGGCTGGGCCTGGGGGAGGCAGGGAACCGGGTGTGGGGGACCTGGGCATTGGGGACCCCCCTCTGCAGCCTCCAGGCAGCCCTGACCTAGGGCACCCCTTTCTGCTGACTTCATAGCTCCTGCCCTGCCCTGCGCCAAGCTGCCACCCCCACCCCACCCCCACCTCCAAGAAGGCCGCTTCCTCAGCTTAAATAACTTTTTTAAAATAAAACTGCAAATATAAATATCTTTCTTTCTCAAAAAAATAGGATTTTTGCTTTTCTTGTTGTTGGTTTTTAAAACTTTTTTTTTAACCCTCCCCCTTCAGTCTTGCCTTTTAGAATCCCAGCCGCCTCGACTGTCCCTGTCCCCTCCTGGGGAGGGGAGAGGGTTGGGGGGCCCTGACACACAAACACATGCACACACCCCCGCCTGGGTCCTTCTGCCCCCCAACATGCCACGTGGCTGCTCCTGCACAGCCCTCCCCAATAGTGCAAACATGACCAGGGAAGCCCCTCCAGGCAGGCGCTTGGGACCCCATCCCTGCCCGGCTTTGGCCTGGCTGGGCCTGGTCCAACATTTTACATTCACTGGTTGGTTAATTTTTTAAAATTTTTGGTGGTTTTTAAATTTTTTTTTTAAACTTTTTTCCTTAATTTCAAATGGCTGAGGCAGGTGCAGCTGGTACCCTACAGCAAACGCAAGGGGGCCCATGGAGGCTGGGGGCGGGGTGTCACTCCAGGCAAGGAGGGGGTTCTGGCCAGACCCCCCCACCTCATCCTGCAGCCCCCCAGGCCTGGCCCTAGCTGCTGCTGCTCTGGCACACACATACACACACACACACACACACACACACACACACACGCACACACACATACACACAGCCTTACCAAGATGCAAATGACAATTTCACTTTGAAAAAAAATTTTTTTTTGTACCAGGCAGTTAAAAAAAAAATCCCCCCCAAAAATAAAACAAAAACAAAATACACACACACACACACACACACACACACAAAGAAAAACCCCACAAACAACCAAGCAACAAAAACCCTTCGGCTCTCTCTGGCCAAGCCAGCAAGACCCTCCTCCAACCATCTGTTTTTTTTTTTTTTTTTTTTTCCTGAAACGCGAGAATTCAGCAGTTATCTTTGGCAACACTTTTATCACGACCTTAATTTAAAGAATAAAAATAAAAATCGATCCACGTCTATATACAGTATGTGATTGCGCGGGGCTGGGGAGGGGGCTGGGTTGGGCTGGGGGTGTCCTGGAGGGTGGCCTCCCCACCCCCAGGGTAGGGGGTTTGCGGACGGGCTGGCGGTTAAGGCAGAGTTGGGAGGCTGGCAGAAGCGGAGCAGGAGCTGGGGGGCGAGGGGTTTAGTGCAATTCCCCGGCGGGGCTTGGGGTGGGGGGTGTCGTGTGGAAGTTGCCATGGGGGCTGCAGCCCCCAGGCCTCCCCGCACCCCTACCCCGTGAGCAGCGACCACCGCTGGCCAGGACCACGCCTGTGATTCTCGGAGTTGGTTTTATTGCGAGGGGGGTTGTGTGGGCAAAGGGTTTACCCTTGGGGACCTCTCTGGGAGTTTGAGGGGAATGGTGTGTGTTGCGGGGGGGCCTGTCCAGTCTGCACTGCGGAAGCCAGGCCAGCACCGACCGACCCTGGGCCTGCCCCTCTGCCGGCCCCGGGGGCGGGGGGGCGTCCTGAGACAACTGGGGTGTGGTGGTGGGGAAGGGGGACACAGAGGGGCGGGAACAATGACTGTCTACTTTTTCACAAATTTCCCTTTAAAAAAAGAAAAAAAGGACAAGAAAGACATTTGCAACAGGGGTGCCCAGGTGGACAGATAGATGGCTGGTGGGGCTGGGGGTGGGTGGAGGGGTGACGACCCCCGGCCACCCCCAGCCTCGTCTGAGAGGGTCAGGGCTGGGCTAAGCAGCCACTCACAGGATCCCATGCCAGGCGTTGCATATGCGGGCAGGAGGGCATGGGCTGCGGGGGTCCTGGCCTTCCCAACATCCTCTCCCCAACTCCGGCCCCGTCCCCCCAGTCCGTGGCCTGTGGCCTGGTCAACACCGGGCCTTTTTTTTGTGGGGGGAAGAAACGGGGGTTCAGATATTGGAGGAGGAGGCAGGTGCCAGCCCCCAGGGTTACAGTCAGTGCCTTTGAGTTAAAAAAAAAAAAAAAAAAAAGGGAGGGAGGGGTGCTGAGTGTGTCGGGGGGAGGGTTAAGCCTAGAGGCCACCCTCACCCACCTCAATGGGGACAGCAGGGTGGTGGTGGGGGACGGAGAGGGGAGGCCGACCCCCTCTCGGGTCCATCCCTGAGCGAGGGGGCGACACAGGGACCAAGACAAAAAAAAAAGAGGGGGAACAAACTGTACCCACAATGCAAAGCACCCCCGTCCTACCCCCAGGCACCCAGACCCCTGGGGGAGCCCCTGGACACCCCGACTCCGGTCCCTGCCTGACCCGGCTCTTCCATCCTGGGGAACACAAGTGCATTCTACGTTGCGCTGGGTTTTTTTTTTATTATTATTTTGTACAAAAATAAATCGACTTTTTTTTTTTCCTTAGGAATCTCTTTTTGCTTTCTTTCTCTCTCTCGCTCGCTCGCTTTTTTTTTCCTTTTCAAATTTTTCATAGAAGTTGATTGCAACTTGTAAACATGTATTTTTTTTTTCTTTTAAATTAAGATTTAAGATAAAGTGTAGTACCCGTCCCGTGACAAAGTGCCGAGACTCGGGGTCCCTGCCTGCTCCTTGCTCTGCCCCCTTTACCTGTGTGGTGGTGGTGGGTGTTGGTTGGTTTTTTTTTCCTGTTTTCCTTTTTTTTTTATTGCTTTTTTGTGACATCAGAGCACTCCAACCCTCTCTCTCTCTCTCTCACTCACTCGCCCCATCCCTGCCATCTTGGGGGACCCTAGTCTAGTCCTCCCCACGCTGCCGCCTACCCCTCTGGGGAAGAAGGGATATTTTATTTATATATATATATATATTTAATCTATATATATAATCTATATGTAAATTTTCGGCTTTTAAGGGGGAGGGAGGGGAACCTCTAAAAAGTGCTTTTAAAAAGTGGGGCTTGGATCAAGTCGGAAGTTTTCCAATCTCCAAACGTGGCGGTGGTGGTGGGGAGTGGGGGGTGGTCTGAGGGGTGGCCCCGGAGGGCTCCCGCCCGCCCTAAGTGCCGTGCAGGAAGGTGGAGGGCCGGGGGCACCGTGTCCCGGGCCACCGCATCTCAGCCTCTGTCCAGGCTGGCAATAAATAGGTTTGTGTGACGGTGGCCAGGAGGTTCGGTGGGTTTTCGGGCGGGTCGGGGTGCGAGGCCACAGGCAGGAGGAGCAGGGGGGCGCTGAGGAAGCTGCTGAGGGATGGGGTTGGGGGGTGGAGGGGGGCCCCCCCTTAATAAGTGCCCTGAGGAAGGAGGGTGGGGAGCTGGGGCCGGGGCGGTTTAGCGTCCACTCAGAGCGGACCAAAAAACAAAAAAACATTTAAGGTCTTGTCTCCAAGACTCGGGAGAACCAGTGAGGGGGTAAGGGGAGGGAAGGCCGCCCCCCCAAGCTCCCCAGCGCGCATGGCCACCCCCTTCTCTCCAACTTGACCCGCACCCCGGGGCTGGCCCAGGGCCTCACTCGGATCGGACCCAGGGATCCCACACGGGCGCCCAGGGTGCGAGGGGGGTTCGGAATCCTTGTGTAGCACAAAAAAACCCCAAACCAAGCCCCAGGAGCCAGCCACCGGCCGCGGGGTGCAGGAGCTGGGGAAGCGGGGGGCCCCTGCGGAGGGAGAGGCGACACGGAGGAGGAGGAAGATTCGAGAAAAGCGCTAGCTAACCTAGGCTCGGTGCCGTTCATATATATATATATATAATCTGTATATATATATAGATAGGTATCTGCGTATAGATAAATTTTTCTGTTTTGTGATTTTGGGGGGTGGTGGGTGGTTTTCTCACTCGCTCTCTCGGGTGTCTGCGCGCTCTCTCTCTCTGTCTGGGTTTTTGTTTTTTTTTTTCGTTGTTGTTGTTTCGTTTTTTTGTTTTTTTTTGTGTGGTTTTTTTTTTTTTTTTTTGGTTTCTAGGCGAGTCCGGCTGTGAAGCTGCCGTCGGCCGTGGCCCCGGGCCCCCCTCCGCTGTCACCTTGGCCGCCGGCGCCCGCTACATTCAAGCGGCTCAGCCCGTCGGGGCTGGCCTCGTCCTCGTCGTCCTCGTCGTCCTTAAAGTGCTTCTCGCCGTTGCGCCGGGCGTCCGGGGAGCCGGCGGCCGGGCCGGGGGCTCCGGCGGGGGTCGGGGCGCCGGGGCCGGGGTCGGGCCCGCCTCCGCCTCCGCGCACCCGGGGCTTGCGGCCCCGACGCGAGGGCACCCCGTTACAGCCGTCCTTCTTGAGGTGTCTGTGCAGGTGGTCGGAGCGCACGAACGTCTTGCAGCAGCTGTCGCACTGGTAAGGCCGCAGCCCTGTGTGCACGCGCATGTGGTTCTTAAGGTCGTAGTTGTGAGCGAAGGCCGCCCCGCACTGCTGGCACAGGTACGGCTTCTCCCCCGTGTGCTTCCTCATGTGCACCTTGAGCTTGTCCTGTCTGGGGGGGGGGGAGGGGGCGGGCACGGTCAGCGCGGGGTGGGGGTGGGGCCGGGACCCCCTCCCCCTGGGCACCCGCAGCACAAGGCCAAGGCGGGCCCAGGGAAGGCAAGGCGGCAGGTGCCGCGGACATCGACCGAGTGCCTGCCGGATGCCAGCACGCAGCCTGGCATGCATCCCTGGCCCCCGCCTGCCAGGCCCAGGTACTGGGGTGAGTTGCAACTCCTCTGGGGTTGTTGCCCCCAAAGGCCACACCCCAGACACCCCTTCAGTCCCAGACAGACTGGGGCAGCTGGTGTCCCCGGCTACAGAGTCCCCTCTGTGCCCCAACAAGCCAGCCTCAGGACCCCTGCGCTCCTGCCGTCCCCCAGTGCTCGCACAGCCACCATGTACAGCTTCTCCCACGGCACGCCGAGACCCCACACGCCACAGGCTCGGCCTCGGGCCTCAGCCTACCCACGGTGCCCATCTCCGGGCCATCCCGGAGGGGACCACAGCCTGGACACTCGCTCTGGCTAGCAGGATGGCCACAGCTCTCACCACGTGGCCGTCCTGAGCGGACACCCAACCACACATGCCAGGTGCCACATGGTGTAGCTTGCTCCTGGCCTGCCCACGGAGCCCACGCCGATGGGAACATTGCAGGCCTGGTGCCCGGCCACACGGTGGGGCAGGGGCCCAGAGCCGGGCTCAGCAGTCCTGCCTGGGCCTAACGCGCTCCTTATGGCTGCCTCAGGCTGCCCTGTGCAAGGCATCCTCAGACTCCTATTCACCCCTCAAAACCCTGGCTCAGGTACACAGCTCCGCCTCCTACTCCCGGCTTGCTGTCTGCAGAGTCCTACTCTCCCCTGCCCCTGCCTTGAGCCAGGGCAACTCAGGGTTCCCCCTCCAGGCACCACCTACCCTCACTTCCCACATAGCCCTCCGCCAGATCCCACCCAGATGCCCCAAAGCTGAGGCTCACGGCAGGCCCGGGATGTGCAGAGGTGGGGTGGAGGCAGCCCCAGTTTCGTCACCCCAAGCCCCGGCCTCGGGTAATTATAGCCCCGGCCGCCACAGGCCCCGCTTACTCAATGCGCTGGCATGACTCACGGGGGCCCCTGGGCTCCTGGGCCCTGAGGGCTGGGGGTGGGGGCGCGGGCAGGACTCTCCCAGCATTCAGTAGGCCTCAGTTTCCCTGGCCAGGCCTGGCTGGGGGCGCCCGGGGGGAACCCCAACCCAGTGAGGCCTGACAGAAGGGGTAGGCTAGGGCACTTCAACCTGGTTCTTGGGGACCTGCAAGGGCAGGCCTCCGGCGCCCCAGTCTCCCCACTGCCAGCACCAGGAGTGCCCGCCTCCAGTCACTGCCCTTTGACCCCCCCTGCCTGGCACTCCTGGGCACTGGAGTCCAGCCACACCCTCCTCTCCCGGCCTGCTGCCGAGGGGGGGAGGGGGCGAGCCCCTCGGGTTCCTGTCCCCACGGGGTGGGGCCGGGAAGCTGGGACAATGGCCTCTTTCTTCAGCCTCGGTGGGCGTGGCTGGGGAACCCCAGGGTGTGTGTGGGGGGCCCCCCCTACAGAGGGGGGGCGATGCTGAGTCACCCGACCTGGCCGGGTCCCTGCTTCCCCACACCCCTCCACCCCTGCCCTGGGTCCACACCGCCGCCCTCCCCACCCAGGCCTAGGGCCTGGCCTATCCCGTGGGGTCCATCCCGTGGGGTCCCCACAAGCGGCCCGGCCGCCCTCGGGGGGCGCTCAGCTCACCTGGTGAAGCGGACCTTACAGATGTTGCACTCGTAGGGTTTCTCGCCCGTGTGGGTGCGGATGTGGCGCGGCAGCTTGCCCGCTCCCTGGATCACCTTCTCGCAGATGGGACATTTCTGGAAGGCCTTGGCGCGGATCTTCTTCTCGCCTTTCTGCGACCAGGACGGGTAGACGTCGCCGTCGTGGGCCGCGCTGAAGTACTTCAGGTAGTAGTCCATGACGCCCTTGTCGTCGGCCCGGGACTCGTCGTCGCTGTCGCCTGTCCCCAGCGCCCCGGCGCGGCCCACCGAGGCCATCATCTTCTGCAGCAGCGTGCTGGCCGTCAGCCCGTCCGTCTCGGGCCCGTCTCCGTCCTCGCCCTCGGCTGCGCCCGACAGGAAGCCCGGCGAGTCTCCCGGCTCCGGGGCCGCCTCGGACAGCGAGGCCACCTCCTCCTCCCCGGCCCGGCCGTAGTGACCGTTCTGCGTGGCGGCGGCGGCTGGCGGGGCCGCGGGTGGCGGGAAGAGACCCCCGCCGCCGCCGCCGGTGGTCGTGGTGGTGTTGGTGGTGGTCGCGGTGGAGGAGGCGGCGGCGGCTGCGGCGGTGTCCTCGTCCCGCTCCGGCCACAGGCCCGCGTTACTGTCACCCTCTTCCCCGTCCCCCGTCGGGGGTCGCTCGCCTGGGGGTCCCGGCCCGTAGAAATCCAAGCCGTTGCAGTCGCCCGCGGCCGCGACGGCGGCGTCCAGGTCGTCCTCGGAGGTGCCGAAGGCTGGCCAGGGGAAGGCGGCTGCGGCTGCTGCTGCTGCTGCGCCGGGGGGCAGGCTGTTCATGGGGTTGGTCTGGAAGAACTCGAGGTACTCCTTGGCCCGCAGCAGGTTGCGCTGGTCCACGTCGTCCCCCAGGTCCACCTGGCCGGCCTCGGCGCCCGCATCGGCGGCCAGGATCTGGCGGTCCAGCAGGTCGGCGCACACGTGGCTCACGGCCGGGATCTCGAGCAGGCGGGCGGCGCTCAGGATGTCGCCCACGTTGGCCGTGCTCACCGTCAGCGTGGCCGTGTAGGCGAAGTCCATGAGGGCCGTCAGCGCCTCGGCGCTCACGAAGTCGATCTCGTACACGTTCTGCTGGTCCACCACGGCGCCCGACGTGAAGAGCTTCTTGAAGTACTGGCTGCAGGCGGCCAGCACCGAGCGGTGAGTCGGGAACTCGCGTCCCTCCACCAGGATGACCACGTCGCACAGCAGGCCCTGCGTGCGCTGCTCGTTGAGCCCGCTCAGGATGTCCGTGCTGTGGTCCGGGAACGGGATCCCGATGGGGCCGTCCACGCCGCCGGCCATCTTCCGCGCCGAGACCTGCGGGTCACCGGACAGGGATGTGGTCAGCAGGTCCATACGCCCACACCGGGGACTCCCTTCCCTGGGGGAAAGAGCGCCCCAGTCCGGCCTGCCTCAGTTTCCCCAGTGCTGCACAAGGGCAGGACCTGGCTGTGGGCTGAGTCTCGGCCACGCCCGACCTCCCCACCGACCTCCCCACCATGCCCTCGCCCTCTACTCCGTGGGAGAACAGCTGTGCCTAGACCCACCCGCAGGCCCGCCCTGACCCTGCTCCTGCCCACCGGGTTCCCTGGGGGTTTGAGTCAGCAGGGAGGGGTGAGGTCAAGTCCAGGGGTGTCACAGGGCTGTGGGCCAGGCCGGGGCAAGGGCACCCTGGGTGGACCCTGCTGGGGCGGGGTCACAGTGACTCCACAGGCCCAGCCCCTTCCTGTCCCGTGAGCCACGCGCCCACCACCCACCCCAGGGCAGGCTGAGCCCCAGCAGTGAGTAACAGGGGAGAAAGCCAACCACTGCCGCCCAGAGGCGGACTCTCCCAGGAGGGGCAGCGGCGCGGGTCGGGGCAGCCCTTTTGCCCAGAGCCCTGACAGACAAGCCCCTCCCTTGCTCCTTCCCACCCCGGGGTGCACGGCTGAGTGCTGAGGCCTCAGTCTCCCCTTCTGTCAAATGGGCAGAGGCCTCCAGCGGCCCAGGCCCCGCCCCCTCCCCTTGTTCTGACTCATCCGCCCACTTGGGTGTTTGCACAACCCTCTGGCTCTTTTCCCTGCCCCCCACCCCGCCCTCCAGGGAGCCCCAGGCTGCCCCCTCACCACCCAGCACCACAGGTACTCCCTCCCGGCTCAGCTGATCAACCCAGACCACGTCCCCCTGGGAGAGGGCTCCCTCCCAAAAGAACCACAAGACCCTCCTGGCCAGCATGAATGAGCAGGCTGAGCGGCCTAGCCCAGCCCTAACCACGCTGTGCTTGCCTGGGGCCTGCCAACCAAGGTCCGAGCGCTGGTCCCGGGCGGGTGCGGGGTCCAGGCCTCAGGGGCCGACACAGAGGCCTTTGTAAGGCCCGCTGGCTTCCCGGGGTTCTCTGGGCGGCCCCACAGCCCGCCCTGTCCCCACCCGCTGCCAGCTGCCGCCCCCCCCCTTCTCCTCGGTCCTGCCAGCCGGTGGGAGGGGCGGGGGGCTGTGGCTGCTGGGAGCAGGGGCGGAGGGCAGCCCCATGTGGGACTCGAGGAGCCCCCTGGGGGGTGCCACCCCTGTGACCATCTGCCGTCTGGCCCAGGAGCCTCAGGGAACCTGTGGGCAGATGGGGCACGGGATCAGGCGTGTCCCAGCCCCTCCTTACCACTGCACACATGGTAGGCTGGGGAGGGGGGTGGTCTCCGACCGCCCTCACCCCAGAACAGCAGAAGGGTCCAGGGCCCCTCCAGGGACACCAAGTTTGCAGCCCAAATGACTCACCCCTGTCGCAGCCACCATCCCCCCGCCCTGGCTTCCTCCCAGGGTGCCCTGCGCACAGGACCAGGGGCCACCACGGGCCTTGGGCTGGGTGGGCTCCCAGAGCCTCCGGCCAACACGCCTGCCCCTGCTTCGCAGGTGGAAACCCCGAGGCCCAAGCTCCAGGAAGAGAGCAGGCACGCAGGGGCCGGAACTGAGGCGGTCTCCACAGCCGCCTGCCAGCCTGACTCCCTCTCTCTACAGGAACGAGATCCACCTGCCGGCCCCACCCTGGGCCACCTGACGGCCTCTGTGGGGGCTGGAAGGGGGAAGGTAGGGCTTGGCCAGAGCCCCAGGGTCGGGAAGAGGATATGGCCTGCTGATGCCCCACTGTGGGCAGGTGGGGGCCTGGTCGCCACCCACCTGCCCACTCACCAGGTGACCTGCGAAAGGTGAGGTTTCACCCCCTTCCCCACCCCAAGCTCCTCACCAGGGTCCCCACTCAGGCCCACACCAACCCAGTTGGGGGGGGCCCATCTATCACCATGGCCACATTCGCCCCCGTGGGATTTCCGGGGCTCGGTGCTGGGTGCTGACTCGGCGGCTGAGGGGCAGGCCCCGGCAGGCCCCTCCTGGGCTGGAGGTGGGGCGGCCTCTTCCTCCCCAGGGGGCCACACCCGCCCAGGGGGCCCCCACGTCAGCCCTCCCCCAGGGTGGCACACAGTAGGGGTACAGCGGAGGCGCCGAAGCTCCGCCTACCCACCACCGGGCGGACTGGCAGGCACGCCCGGCCTGTCCCACCTCCAGTCTCGCCTAGGGTCAACAGGGCTGTGGCTCTCCCAAGCCGAGCAGGACCCTGGCCTCAGCTCAGCCCCTCCCCTGCTGTGCCCTGGACTTTGAGAAGGCTGAGAGGTCACCAGGCCGGGCCAAGGAGACCCAACAGACCCCAGCTGGGAGGGACAGCACCCAGTGCCAACATGGCCCTGGGCACGGAATCATAGGGGCCTTGGCTGGCAGGCTGAGGGTGGGGGCCTCCACACTCCCCAGGAAGCAGGGTATCTGCAACTCAGGGGTGCGGGTCGGGGGACCACGTGAGGAGGAGGAATCGGCCCTCCCAGATGCCCACAGCCCCCCACCCACTCCTCCACCATGGGAGCCAGGGAAGGCCCAGTTCCCGCTCAGCTGTGCCCGTGGGCGGCCAGCTGGGGGTCAGTCCGGCTCCTCTGTCGCCAAGCTGTGTGACCTTGGACAAGACCCAGCGTCTGTCTGAGCCTCCACTTCCTTCAAGGGGGAGGTCAGTGTGGTGGAAGTGGGGTCACTCCCTCACTCTGGGGTGGCCTGCCGCCTCTTGCCCACCTGTGCTACGTATGCGGCTGGGAGGCCCAGAGAGGGTGGGCAGCTGGCCCAAGGTCACACCGCCGAGTCTGGCACACAGGTGCCCTCCCAACCCACAGGCCTGTGTTGCAAGGGTTGGTCCCAATGGGTTACCCCGCCCCGACCTGGTGCCAATCCCTGCCTGGCCCTGGCCCCAGCTTGGGGTTTCACGGGACAGTAATGTCATGTCTGGACTGGGGGCCCTGAGAGCACCGGGCACCTCTGCCTGCTTGTCCCCCTGCTCACTCTGTGGCATCTGCGCCAGTGGGCAAGGCCTTCCTCCGGCCAGGCTCAGGAGCCCGCCCAGGCCCTCGGCCATCTTACCAGTCCATTTTATTGCCCTAAATGGGGAGGGGCTTCCTGCCTGGGCCTTAAAGGGCCAGAGGCAGGAAGGCCAGGGCCCAGTGGGAAGTGTGTGTGTCTGTGTGGGTGTGAGTGGTTGGGGTTGAGATGGCCAAGAGGAGGGGAAGACGACCTTCCATCTGACCCCAGGCCCACCCTGTTCCCGCACTCCAGAGGGACGGAGGTGGGCGGGCTCCAGAAGGGTGCTGTGGCCAGAGCCGTCCGTCTGTCTGCCTGGGAGAGGAAGGAATGAGCTTCCCGTCACGGAAGGGGGGCAAACAAGGCCGCCCTCAGCAGAACACCATCCCCGAGCCCCACCCTCAGCTCCCATTGCACCTGCTACCCACAATGCCACGGGGAGGGACTGTCGGCTGACCTCGGAGAGCCTCTCATCTCCTTCCCTCCCTCGCTGCCCTGAGGGGGCCCCGCCTGTCACCTCCAGACACCCGCAGGAGCCCCCAGGCCGGGCCACCTGGGCCTGCTTCCTCCCAGTCCAGCAAGGCTAGCAGCCTGCAGGAAGGTGGGCCGGGACCTCGTTTTCCAGTCAAACCAGAAAGGCGTGGGTGGGGACCGAGCGGCCGTCCATGGCCTGCTGGGGGGACAGATGGAGGGGCCGGCCCTGTGGCCACGTTCTGCCTGGTGTCTCCGCGGGAGCCTTCCGTGTGCTGCGGGGCTCTGGCCGTTGGTGGGGATGTGGGCCTAGAGTTGTGGGGGTGGAGTGGAGATGGGGTACCTGGCTCTTGGCCTCCACATACCTGGGCGCACACAAGCAGCGTCAGGTTTTGATCAAGGGCCGTCTGTCCTGCCTCGCTCCTGTCCACCCCCCAACCCTCAGCTCCCGGCAAGTGACCACTGTGGGAGAGTGGGGGGACTATAGCCATGCACAAAGGGGCTCCCCCAGAGCCCTGTGCATGGAGAGTCCCGGAGGGAAGGCCGAGCCGACCTGGGGACAGAAGACAATCTCCCCATTGCTATTGCTCATGGGAACAATGGAGGCTGGCCTGGGCCTTCCTCCCCACTCCCAACCTCGGGAGTCAGGGCTGTCTCTGGCAGGTGCCTGGACAGGTGACAACAGAACCCCCCCCAGGCAGATTCCCGCTTTGTCTCTGCACCAGCTCAGCTTGGCCTGGGGAGGCGACCCCGGGGGGCAGGCAGCTCAGAGGCACCACCACAGACCAAGTGCCTGCCCCATGGGGCTGGGGGACTGGTAGGACAGAGGACATGTGCTGGGTGACCTTGGTGGGGACCCCGAGGTTCAATGTCACCTTTAGGTACTGGCTTTCCTAGGCTCTGGATTTGCACCTCAGCGGCTCTGGCACCTCCTCCAAGGCAGGTGGTGAGTTTTGGGGTAACTCTGGTGGGTTGGGACAGCAGTGGGTCAGGAGATGCAGCTCGGGGCCCCGTGACCTTGGACTGCTGTGTCCCCACTGCCCCAGTCTGGGACTCATCAAACCACACGCACCCCAGGACCTGCTGGTGTGGCCCTGGAACCTTCCGCAGGGGCCCAGGCTAGCCTGGCTCTCCCACCGCCAGGCCCTGGGGCTGGGGTGCCAAGTGGCCACCGGGCAGCCAATCAGAACTGGGTAAGAAACACCACAGACACACACACACACAGAGCGACCCACGAATTAAAATTTCAGTGTCCCCAATGGCTCTTCTTTCATTCATTAGCTCCTGCTTTATCAGGCTGCCTCTTGCTCCCCGCCACCAACCTCCCTCAGGCTTGTCTCCACAGCGATGGCTGGTGGTAAACACAGCCCCCCCCCCACCTCCCCGGGGCCCCACCACGAAGGTGCCAGGGCCCAGCCTGATGAGGGGCCCAGGAGGGGCAGGATGTAGGGGCGGCTGTCCTCTCAGGAAATGCCCCGTGCCCTGGAAGCCTCGCAAACAGCCTGGCCTGGGCCCCTGCCCTAGCCCAGGCCGCCCGGGACGTCTCCCAGGCCCAGTCCGCCAATAGGAAGTGTCGGCCTTGCTGCTTGGGGAGACCGCCCCCACCCCAAGCATGGGAGCGGCACCCTGAGGGTTACGCCCTGGCCCTGTTCAAGGGTGGGTGGTGGGGTGACATGCAGGCAGCTGGCAGGGAGAGATGGTGGTGGTGGTGGCGGCGGCGGCGGCCACGGCGGTGATGGGGGTGGGGGGAGGACAGGCCAGCCAAGCCGGCCACCCATGGGTGAGCCAGGTGGGCGCCGCGGGGAGAGCGGGGGAGGGGAAGGGGGCACCCACATCTCTCTCACTTCCGCCGGTTGCAACAGGGAGGGGGCAGAGGAGGTGCCTGGGTCTCCTCGGGGCCAACTAGGGAATGCATTCCACCGGGACCCAGTGGGCGCCCACTGCGCGCGCCTCGGAGGGGGCCCCGGCTGGACAGCACCCGCAGCTGCCTGCCCCCACCCCCCACCGGGCCACCTCTCCCCTTCCTGGGGCTCGCGGCGCACAGGAGCCGCAGAGACCCCCGAGGGGCGCCCAGGGGGGTTTACAGCTCGACGACGACGACGCAGCCCCGTCGCGCCCACCCAGGCCAGGCCAGGCCAGGCCAGGGAAAAGGGGGGGGAGGTCCGATGGATCCCACCCTGCCCGGGCTCCTCTCCGCGCTCGCACGTGGTGGTTGGTGGTGCTGGTGGCGGCGGTGTCGGGGAGGCAGAGTCGGGGTCACGCGCTTTTTTTGGGGGGGGTGGTGAGGGAAGCGGGTGACGGCGGCAAGGGAAGCGAGGCGCCCCGGTCGTCGCTCTCCAGGCCGCGCGAGCCACGCCAAGGGGGCCAGGCGGGGTCCGCGTCCGGCGCCGCCACCACCGCCACCAGCACCGCCACCAGCACCCCCAGCACCCCCAGCGCGGCGGCGTCAGGCCCGGGGACCCCCGGCGGGCGGCAGCTGCCTACCTCCTTCCCGGGGCAGCGGCGAGGGGGGCCCGGCCCCGGCGGCGGCGGCTGCGGCTGGGCTGGCTCCCTCCGAGGGGCCGGGAGGCGGCAGTGAGCCTGGCCCCGCGCCACCCCCCGCCGCCGGCGGCCAATCCCCACCCGGGCTGGGGGGAGGGCGATGCAAATTACCCCGGATCTGGGTCCGCCCGCCCGCCCGCCCGCCTCCCCCCCACGCCCGGGCTCTCGGCCCGGCCTGCACTGCTAGGCCGCGCATCCCCGGGCTCGCGTGCGCCGCGCGGCCGCCCGAGCCTGCACCCTGCCCGGGAGGAATAGGATGGATGGTATAGAGAGAGAACGGCGCCGGGAAGGGAAGGGAAGGGAGGGACCCCCCCCCCCCACCACGCACTCCCGGGGCCCGGCCGGGGTGGCCCCCGAGGGGAGGGGGGCTGGGGACGGTTACACAACCAGCAGGGGAGGGGCCCCGGGGCGGGGAGGGGGCCGGGCCCGCGGGCCGCGCAGCCGGAAGCCGGGGACCGCCACCGGCCCCCGGCGAGGGGCGCCCGGCCGCACGCCCCGCCCTCCGCGCCGCTCGCCCCGCCCCCCGCGCCGCGCCGCGCCCGCGCGCCGCCTGCCATTGGGCCGCCGCGCCGCCGCTCACCGCCCCTCCTCCGCGCCGCCCCTCCCCGCGGGCCGCCGGCGCGAAGCACCCTGGGACTCGGAGTCCTCAGGAGCCGCCCACCTGCCGGGTGCAGGCGGCGCCGCGAACTACGATACCCAGAAGGCCGCCCGGCGCCACCCGCCCACCCGGACGCCCTCCTCCTCCTCCTCCTTCTCCTCCTCCTCCTCCTAGGCAAGCCCCCTCCCTGTTTTGCCAGCCCCCTCCCCCCCATCCCCCATGGAGCTCCATCCTGGCCAACTCCAACGTATGCACGCAGCACCGAATTAGGCCCCCCGCCACCCCGAGGGGCCAGGGCGGTCCCCCGATCCCAGCTGCAAACTTAGCACGCGACGCGCAACCCCCCCCCCAGTGTCCCCACGCCGGCTCCCCCCCCACCCCAACACACACACCCTCAATGCAGCCCCGGTTCCCCTCCCCCGCACCCCGCGCGCGCCCGGGAGCCCCCAAAAGCCATGCATGAGGGACCTGGGGAGGCGCGGAGGTGGGCGAGATGGAGGCTGGGACGAGGTGGGGGGTGACGGGGGCAGCTGGCGCACTAACCCGTTGCACTTGCCCCCCCCCTCCCCGGGAGCTCCTCTTCTCCGGGCGGCGCCCCCTCGGCCCGCGCCCGCGATCCCGGGGCGCCCTCAGCCCCCCGGGATCAGCAGCTTGCCAGCCAACCAGCCAGCCACCTCCCCACACCTCGTCCTCCTCTGAAACTTGGGGGAGCGTCCCCGGCGCGTCGGGGTGGGTCCCCCTTTCCACGGGGCGCACAGGAGAGGTGGGCGCAGCGACAGGCCCCCACCACCACCACCACCACCACCCCACCCCAGCTCTCCACTCCTGCCCCTTTGCCGCACGGGCCGCGCGCGCGCTGCTGGGGCGCTGACTTACCTCGCGGGGCCGGGGCCGGGGGGCCCGGGCTTTGGAGAGGGTGGGGGGCTGCGCGGATCGGCCGCTGGCCCGCGGGGTGCGCGGCGCTCGCTGTCCCCGCGCGTGTGTCCCCGCGTCGCTCCTTCGCGCGGCGGCGGCGTCACTGCCCCTACAGTAACCGTACAGCACCAGGCAAAGCCCCGTATGATGCTCCCGACTCCCTTCCTGGTTGCTCCGAGGGCATGAGGGGTCCTCCCTTGTCTTAAAGGTGCCGCAGCCTCCGGCCCCCCCCCCACCCACCAACACACACACACGCCCAGCCCGTCCCACCCACCCCCCTCCCCACACACTCCGGGCCGCGGAGGCCAGAACAGGCTCGGCAGGTCCCCTCTTGCCACGTCTCTGCGCTCCCGTGGGGCTTCGCCCGCTGCGCGCCGCCGGGGGAGATCGGGCTGTTATTAGGGGTTTTGCCAAGTTGGGGAGATGAGGAGGACGTGTTGGGGTGGGTGGGGGGGTGGGTTCGGCGCGCGCCCCCCTCCCTCCCTCTGTCTCTCTGACCTCTCCGCCCCGCGGCGCGGCGCCGTGCCAGCGCGCGGGCTTATCTGGCCCCAAAGCTCCCCAGGGCGCGCGGGCGAAAGGGAGGGGAACGGGGCCCCCCAAGGCGGGCGGAGAGGGGACCGGGGCGCGGGGGGGTGTGTGTGTTGCGGAGGGGAGGTGATTGTGCTGCTTCTGCTGCTGCTGCTGCTGCTGCTGCGGGGGCCTGCAGATAAACAGGCCCCCAGCCTCGGCTGCGCTGGGGCGGGGTGCAGGGCTGGGGCGTCCGGGAGGAGGAGGAGGAGGAGGAGGAGGGGGGTGCGCGCGGGCTTTGCCCCCGCCGCCCCCGGGGCGGGGCAGGGTGACGGAGGCGGGGAGCGCGCGGGGCGCACGGCGAGCCCGGGCTGCGAGGGCTGGTGTGCGTTGGTGGGGGGCTCTGCGTGTGAGCCTGGGGACCCCTCTTTACACACACACACACCGCACCCAAGTCCCTCTCCAAGACCAGGAATCTGATCTGCCGAGCGCTGGCCTCAGTTTACCCGGCCGCGCAAGTGCACCCGGTGTGGAGGCAGGAGCCCATCTCCTGGGCAGTTGGGGGGGATGTCCAGGGCTTGGGGTTGGGCGCTCAGGGTTCCCAATGCAATCGCCAACCTGCCCTTCCCGCGATTATATAAAGGAGGCGCCTCCGCCGCCGCCGCCCGCGGGGGAAGGGGTTGGCGAGGGGGCGGGCAGGGCAGGGCGGCGGTTTTCCCAGCTCGCCCAAGTGCTGCGCCCCCACACACACGCCGGGCAGGATCAGGGCACCCCACCCCAGTGTCCCCCTCGGTAGCAGGATGAGGTGTTATTGGTGAAGGGGTGGTCCCCCCCGAAATGCCTGGGGTTTGCGGGGCGCTCCCGCAACGCTTGGGCGGATAGGGAGTGTGGGGACGCGGGGGAGTCAGGAGGTGCTGATTCCCCCCAACTTTTTTTTTTTTTTTTTTTGCTTGCTTTCTTTCTCCCCCACCCCGGTCCATTTCGCCCACTTCCTCCTCCCCGGTCGTGGGAGAGGTCCGGCAGGGGACGGGGGAGGGGCGGAGGGGACGCGCGGTGACAACACAGCCAGACCCGGCCGGGGCCAGCCGCCTGCTGCACGCGGGATTGGAGAGGGACTGCGGGTGGCACCCCGCAGCTGGCCTGGGTGCGCGCGCGCGGGGTGCGGAGCTCCCCGCCTCTCCTGGTCTAATCCTGAGCACTTGATGCACTACCCGGGTGTGTCCATGATCCTTCTGTTTATTGATGATTGATTAATTCTTAGGATCAACCCAGGGCCACGAGCCTCTGGGGGTCCGGGGATGATGGAGAACAGGGGTTCAGTGTTCGCCCCCCCCCCCGCCCCGGCTGCCCCGACTTCAAAGACAAGCCCTGGCCTGAGACAGGCAATTTGGGGGGGCCCCCCTCTCACTGCTCCACTAAATACCTCTCAACTCCGAAACAGGTTGAATCGGCCTCTGTGATTATAATTTTAAGGGGATGTGGGGAGGGAGGTGCCCAGAGGGGAAGCCACAGCCTGAACGCCCCCCTCCTCCAATTAGGTGGGAAGGGAGGGAGGAGGGGCCGTGGGTCTGCGGGGAGCCTGGGAAATGAGTTCATCTTTCTTCAGCGCCTTGCAGGTGCCAACCGGGAGTTGCATCAAGAATGGTACCTCCCTGGACCATGAACACCCTTATTCCGCCAACCCCCACACACAGTGAGGGAGGGGGCGCAGGGGGCTGAGGCAGAGCAGCTAAGCCTCCACCTGCAGTGCAGACATTCCATAATGACCCAAGTTCTAATCCCAGCAACCCCGCTTCCCATCCAGCTCCCTGCCTGTGGCCTGGGAAAGCAGTGGAGGACGGCCCAAAGCCTTGGGACTCGGCACCTGCGTGGGAGACCCGGAAGAAACTCCTGGCTTCAGATCAGCTCAGCACCAGCCATTGGGGTAACGTGGGGCATCAACCATTAATTAATATTAATATTTATGTGTTTATGTTAATATTTAACATATCAATATAATATTATTGAAAACCACCAATATAAATGTTTTTATGCATAGTGTTAGGGTCCTGCCCCAGAAGTCATGCACATTAATTTTTTTTTTAATTGTTATTGGATGCAACAAGATGGCCTAGTGGCTCAAATCCTTGCCTTGCATGCACTGGGATCCCATATGGGCACTGGTTCTAATCCCAGCAGCTCCACTTCCCATCCAGCTCCCTGCTTGTGACCTGGGAAAGCAGTGGAGGACGGCCCAGAGCCTTGGGACCCTGCACCCGTGTGGGAGACCCGGAAGAGGCTCCTGGATCTGACTTCATATCAGCTCAGCTACAGTGGTTGTGACCACTTGGGGATTGAACCAGTGGATGGAAGATCTGTATCATTTTTCTGTAAATCTGTCTTTCCAATCAAAACTTTAAAAGAATTTTATATATTCATATCCTATGTTGCTATGTATTTATTATTAATATATGATATTGTTAATAACGTTTACATTAATATTTTCATATACCCCAGAAGTCATGATGCATGTTTATTTTTTAAAACATTTGTTATTAATTTTTGAAAGGCACAGTTAGAAAGTCCTCCGTCTGCTGGTTCACTCCCTAAATGGTCAGAAAGGTTAAGACCAGACCAGGCCAAAGCCGAGCGAGCATTTGCACGGAGGTACACGGCCCCAAGGGACATGAGCTAATACAGCTGCCTCTCCCAGCACCTATGGGGTCCGGAGCAGACCCCAGAAGTCCCTGGTGTCAGGTGGTGAGCCCCCACACTAACAGCCATGTCCAACGCCCGCCCCTACCCTACCCACACACCATCAAGCTATCTGGAGCTCCAAGGAGAGCTCTAGAAAGTGAAAGAAAAACAGAACTAGGGAAAAGGTATTTGGCAACAGGGCGTCAGTGGAGGGTCTGGTCTCTGAGGCATCTGAGCCGCCTGGATTGCAGAAATACCCTCAGGCGGCTAAAAACGGCTCAAGTATTTAAATACTTACGTGTGTACAAACTACTACAGGAAGAGACTGCGGGTCTCCCTGGAGGAGGGGTGGGGGGACAGTGCACCTTTAAACCACAGCAGGTGCCTGTGGGGAAGGGGGCAGCTGGCGAGGTGGACAGCAGATGGGCAGCCCAGGGTGGCCCTCGGTGGCGGGGATGGTCAGGAGGGACCCTCGGGTGCAGCCGCTTGGGGAAGCCACGTGGCCGCAGTTGCCTCCCTCCGGGATGGGGAGCAGAAAGAGGGTGGGGACACCCTGCACACGGGTCAGGATGGATGTGTTAGCTTTTACAGGGGGGACGTGACAAAGATGGCCGGCGCTCACCGGATGCACACAGTGGAATACTACATGGCCAGGAACTGGACAGAGGTGCTGACCCAAAGGGGCTGCAGTATGTCGAGTATCCTGGGACATCTCATTCAGGAGCCACGCAGTGTGGGCTCGCCAGGCAGGAAACATCTAGAATAGGAGAATCCACGGGGCCAGGAAGTGGCCACGTGGTTATCAGGGACTGGGGTGCGACCAACAAGGGCTGATGGAATATTCTGGAATAAGATCATGCAGATGGCTTCAACAACCCTTTTCTTATAAGAGGTTACCAAGTTTGCACATTTTAAATAAAGGGTGCTGTGTGGGCCCTAGTATTGTGGTACACTATGAGTCCTGCTTCCCGTGTGGGCCCCAGTTCATACCCTGGTGGCTCCACTTCCCATCCAGCTTGAGGCCTGGGAAAGCAGTGGAGGACGGCCCAAAGCCATGGGACCCTGCACCCGCGTGGGAGACCTGGAAGAGGCTCCTGGCTCCTGCTTTCAGACCAGCTCAGCTCAGCTCCGGTCTGACACGGACGGGGAGGGATCCAGGAAGATTCTAGAACTCAGGGAGTTATGGAGCTTGAGGAAGCCCCCACGACAAGACTAGAACATTCCGGTCAGCTGTTGGTCAACCTAAGAGGCCACACAGCCATTCCACTCACTTAGCCAGGACAGCCCAGCCGAGAGAACCGCCATTTCTTCACCAGACAAAAGTACAACTCAGGGGCCAGGGACACAGCTCCATAGATTACATGAAGCTGTGGGTACCAGCGCCCCAGGCCCCAGCACCTCCGCTTGTGATCCAGCTCCCTGCTAATGCCCTGGGGAGCAGAGGGCGATGGACCTAGTCCTCGAGTCCTGTATCCACAGGGGAGACCAGAATGGAGCTCCTGGCTCCTGGTTTTTGGATCAGCTCAGCTTTGACCATTGCAGTAACTTGGGGAGTGATCCAGCAGACGGATCTTCCTCTCTCTATATCTGACTTTTCAATAAAAATAAGTAAATCTTTAAAAAAAAAAACTGGATACATATCAACAACTTTATTAAATATTTTAACTGTCGAGGAAGCCACTAAGATGTTATAATGGATTTGAAGGAAAATTAGAGAATCGTGGGTGTGTGTGGGTGCTGTGGTGTGATGCCTGGACCCTAGAGTGGGGTACATCAGCTGCAGGCCTGCACCCCCTCTTCCAATCCCAGCTCCCTGCTCATGTGCACTCTGGAAGGAGCAGGTGGTAGCTACCCCAGGACTTGGGGCCCTGTCACCCCATGTGGGAGACCTGAAGAAGCCCCTGGCTTCGGCCTGGCCCAGACCCTGGCTGTGGCAGGTGTCTGGGGAAGGAACCAGCAGATGAAATAACTCTTTCTCATTTTCTCTTTGTGAATAAATAATTCACACACACACAAAGGCAAGCTAGCTTGAGCTTCCAGAAT